TTAACGTAGGGGAGGGGAGAAACTCCAAGGAGGACAAAGCTTGCTCACGTCCTCCCCCAGAATCATTCACTTCTCTAAGGCTTAGTCTCACGTTTTGTAAGGATTTAACGTGGTTATTGGCACTCACGTCGTTAAGGGGGACATTGAGGCGAGTGAGCCTCAATGTCCCCCCTAACGACATGGGTGCCAATAATCGGAGGTTTATGAATTGCTATTGCTATTTAATTTTCCATTCAGAAATTCCGAATATCATTGACGATAATATTCGTCAGTGTCGCTATCATCGGCATTCCTCTTCACTTCACATCGGAAGTAGTGATGGTGAGCTATTTTGAAATTGATGTATTGAATTTGGCCATTTCCAAATTGTTGTACGATCAAGCTACTCGTCCTGCTTAGGCTTAGTTTCCTTCAGTCATAAGAATGACACGAAAACGGCTTTTTGGGATGTCTTACCTTTTGCAGAGCGCCTTACGTTTTGATGTACCTTACCTTCTTACCATTAGAGATATTGCATTACACATCGCCATGTTCAGGTCGAGGAAAACGAAGGTTGCGCCAGGCGACATCCGGCGTTACGAAACGCGACTGCGTTTCAACTACAGTTTTCCTCCTTCCCTTACCTGCAGACACTGAATTTCTGGCTATTCAATTTGTGCTCGAAGATTATCCCTTCGGTAAGCGTATTGATCGATTATCCCATTTTTTCTGGCCCTGTGAATAACTTATTGATCAAACACGTATTTAAGGTGATTTTGTGCCTAATGACGTTTATGATTCTTGCCAAGCTCAAGAAGATTCAACAGTTGAGTTCACGGTTTACGAGTGTCGAACGTGATAAGCAGTACCACAGGACAACGAACATGATTCTGGTGAGTGTGAGCTCCATGTATCTTCGGTTCTTGCCATCCATTTTCAGAATTTACCTGGGTAAGCTTTTGGGTTTTCGTGTGACAGCCCCTCTGTGACACCACAAATACCTGGAAAGGTATTTGACCTAAAGACACATCCTACGATCACTCGATGTTGTTTGCTCGCTCGAAAATGAATGTGAAGGTGGTCTACCACCAATAAGGAAGGCAACAAAAAAGGTTAAAATGCAGAACATGAGGGTTCCAATAATTTTTTTAAATCCACAAGCAATTCGAGCCCAAGAGTCATTGGTTGCGGAGATGCGAAAACATAATCGGAGATGAGAGAGCATGCAGAAAGCGTGAGACGCAGACACCAACACACTCGCATTGATGGCGTCCTAAACCTATTGTAGAGTAAGTCCAGGGCGCCTTCAATGCGCTCTATAGTCGCGAGGTGGCACTATCTTTGTGATTTGGTATCACTCAACCTATTGAATGAAGAGGTTGTTCCGCACAGCTCAATCAGCTTGTCCCTGAAAGCGTAAGCTACGATAATTCATGAGGTCTGCTAGGTTAGCAGTCGCCAGAAGAAAAAGAGGTGGGCCTCGAAACGAGCGAAATTAAGCCTCAATTGCTGTAACCTCCGTTTCTCACTGCAGCTTCACCCTGTTTGCCTTCTCTGGTGTCTATGCTCCCTCACCCCCTATTTGCCATAGCCTCTACTTTTGTACGCTTTCTTTCTGTGCTGAAGACTCGTGCGAGCTCTCGGACCATCTACACGGAGGGGCCCTATTCCGGGCATTCTTGACGATTCTTTCGCTTTGTTCGTCTTGGTCAGGTCATAAAGCCCTTACTGTTTCACATTTGAAGTTTACTGCCTAAATTCTGTTGTCATGGAATGCGCTTTTGAAGCTGGAGCCGTGAAATCACAAAACTTTGAAAGGCGTGTTCCTTGTTGTAAACGCCGTATTCGCACAATATTATTTCATATTGACACTTCGAGGGCTTCAAAGTGCTCGGAGATTTTGTAATTTTTCAAACATATAGTGAGAAATAAACACGTAGTACGACAAATGAGCGATGTTTGGTAGGATCTTTTCCGGGATGTTTATACTATTTTTGCCGGCCCACTGGCACGTGAAAAACGCATAGACGAGCAAGATAAACAAACACAAATCATCAACAAGGGAAGCTGTCGTGGGAAATTCATTAAATTTATTGAAAGGAGCAGGCTTTGAAATCTGCGACAGAGTTATCCACTATTTCGCCAGTAGATCTGATCAGATGGACCAAAATATGTCCCTAAGGACGCGAGTATTCGTTAAGTTTGTTGAGTCACAGCGAGATCTAGGTCAAAGGACGCCCAAAAATTCAAACATGACCGCTCCCAGAGTTACCACTGAAAAGCTCGCTTCTAAAAGCATGGGGTTGATAGCCGGAGAGTGGTTATTCGTGAAAACCTTCTAGAATTATTTATTTACTTTTAGGAATTTTACCATTTTTGGAATGGATGGATTCCCAGTTTGCGGGATTTTGAGGAAGTGAATATAAAGAGCCACAGATGGGGAGATGAGCGATGTTTATAAAGAGACAGTAGGCTAGTAGGAGAGGGTGGTGTTCATAAGCTTTGCTCGTCATTATATTCGGTTCTAATCGGTTCTGATCAGAACCGGTGCTTGAAGTTCTCGAACAGCTCCAGTGAATGCAGTGCTAAACGTGCTGAACACAACTGCAGGTAAAGGCCACAGCCAGGGAACTGTAGGCATCTTGGAGTAGTGGAGTAGTTTGGACAGGGTTAGGAAGTCTTTCAAGTCATGCTTCGAAAAGGCAGGCTTCAGTTGGGGTTCGGTATGGTTAGATCTAAATAACTGCAGTTGGGATTCAGCATTTTTAAATTCCACTTTCCAAATTTC